TAAATTTTAAAAATAGCATAATTTAATCCTTAAACTTTAAACATAAGTACTAATTTAGTTCTTTAATTTTGATTAGAAATACCAATTTATTCTTTTAATGTTGATTATATATCAATCTTATATAAAAATAAAAATATATTACAATTGTAAAATATAGTTATTTGATTTTATACATTATTAATATTTTAAAAAAGAATCGATTTTGTAACAAAATAATAAATTACATGACATTTTTGTTAATAAAAAAACTATTTTGGTATTGAAAAATAATGTTTAGGGATAATTTTAGTATTTTTTAAAGTTGAGAGATAATTTTAATATAAATTTAAAAATTAAACAACTAAATTAGTATTTAAACATTTTTTTTCTAATGGAACATTTTATAGATAGTTCAGATAAGTTTTAGAAAAGTAAGTTTGATATGTAAAATAATTATTTTGATCATAAGAGTAATAGAAAGCACAAAAAATAAAAATAAAATCACATGGAGGAGAGAGAGAAATTTGAGGCAGAGAAAAAATTTCTAAGTAGAGGGATATATATCGCAACGCAAAAGAAGTAGATGAAAAAGGGAAAAAAGAGCCACAAAAAGAAAATATAATTCATTTTATTTGATACATTGGGGAAATTAAAGAGCAGTCTTAAATCCTACATAATATGGTTCCCGCGATGTTTCCTTGGAGAAAATATAATTTATTATTTTAAATTATAAGTAAACTAATAAAGTAGAGTTTTTTCTCAAAATTATTTAGACATGCATGAATTGATATGTGATAAGTTGAATTCACACACATATTATTGTGTTAATTTTGCCTTTTGGAAGAAATCAGAAATATTAGGACTGAATTGCAGAAGAATAAATTGAAAAACAGAAAGTTGAAGTCAAGGACCAAGATGAATTATAAAAAACGTGTAGAGACCAAAGTGCAGAAAAAGTAAAAGTTGAGAAACCAGCAAAGTTTTACCCAATGAAAATCAAAATTGCTTCTTAATCCAAAATCCCGACACGCAGACTCTTTTTCTAAATTAATGGAACGTGCGAACACATTGCGCTAAGGTGTCTAGACTTGCGATTTTCAGCATATATTCACACAAAATTCCAATTATTTTGGCATGAATCCCACTTCTCTTGTAAAGCATCTTTAAGTCCTATAAATATTTATTTATTTTAATCTATCAATTTGTTAGTTTCAACTTAAATTTTAATTTTTTAAATTACTTTATTAAGTCTAAAAAATATCTAAATAAACTCAAACCTTCCTCTAATAATTTTTGTTGTCAAATATTAAAAAAATTAATAACCTTATACTTCAATTTTTTTCACAAAAACTTAGGGGGCACTGCCCTTTGTCTTATCTTCCACTTGACACATTTTTTTAGCTCTCAAGTAATGAAAAGTGTGAAAATTAAAAAAAAAAAAAATCCCTCTTTTCTTTGGTTGTGTCCAAGGGCATTTTTTATATCTAAATCCAAAGTAGAAAATACAGAGAAAACGAGCAAAGGGAAACCAGATTAGATGGGAATCCAAGGTTGAGAAACTTTTCCGAAAGAGAAACACAAAAAGCAGAAGAATGGAATGAGGCATTGAAGACACCGAGCCATCCCACGTTAATGGAAAATTATGACCTAAGAAGATGCTCTTGCATCTGTTTATATATGCTCATGCGTGGAATGAGATTTTGTATGCATAATTGTTGAACAGTTGTAAAAATCTTTGTGTTCTGAACTTCCTTTTTGGAGATTAAGAATGTAAAATCAAGATATTGATAAAACAAAGAGTGAGTTCCATCAAATTCTTTTTGGTAAGACAAGATATTTGCTAAAAGTGAACGGAGGCAATACCAGCGAAAGTCATGTGAAAGAAGTCCACTTGGTCTGTGAAGGCCAACATGCATTTCCATGAAATATCCATCAAACTATTTGAAGGCCCTCGTGACTATATAATGCTGTCTTGATGTCTTGAAGTTTCAAGCTACGAAACATCTCACAGGGAACTTGCAATCTACATCTTGCTACCTAATATGTTTTTTTTTTTT